TATTAATATTCTGACGAATTCTTAAGTTAATGACTGAATAAGTTCATGACAATAAAATATCCGTAGAGATTCCCAGATGACATTGTTAAATATTTGTGATTAACATCTTTAACAAAATATTGCAATAACAATCATAAATATGAATAATGGTAGTTATTTTTTAAGAAGTGGGTACAAATGAAAAGAGATGAAACTAACAATTCTATCTTCATTCTTTCTTTCTTTCTTTCTCGCTGAAAGCAAGTAGTGTATTCCCCCAATTTCCACGCGAACAAAAAGGAATAGTCCACTATTTATGAGGTATTGGCAGAGCGTAACGGTCTTGCTAACTAAGGCAGAGGTAAGCACAATTATAACAGGATATTAACTTGCTATCAAGCCCAAACAAGTACAAATGTAACCTTTCAGTTAGATTCGATACAAAAATGACCGCTGTATTCGAACATTCATTTAAATCCAAATAGTGATATGTTTGAGTAAAATATAGAGAATCTTCCAGGATAGAGCTGATTCAGAATAAATATGTTTTTAAGTTTCTAACCTGTACCCGGCATTTGAACAATGATCAAAGTGTAGTATCTGCCTTTTACGCTCTGTCTCTCAATTTCGTTTCTGTCTTCTGTTCTAAAGAGGGAAGTTCGGTGGAATATTGATTGCAGGGACTGGGCAATTTTTAGCCTTATCCCATGTGCATGAACTTGGTTTCGCCACATTAAATCGGCCTTGAGCCATATCTCGTCACCGTTGGAGGACGAATGAATACCAAGTGTTGTATGTGTTTTCCTCTCTAAACCGAGAGAAACTTCTTGTCAGACATTGTAACCCATCGGCAGTATCTTCATTGCATTAAAGAGAGTCGGTTAGTGGATACCGTGACAGTGGTCGTGGGTGGGGATTGGGCAATTTCTTCTCCTTGTACCCCCCTCATTAAACTAAATTTGTCTCACATCCTACTACTGTGCGTTTGGGGGTGGGGATTTACGAATATTTCCTCTTAGAGTTTTTTTTTTTTCAGAAAAAAAAACCTGGACATACATACACAAAGTCTCATTATAGATTGTTAACGATTGAATATGATCATTTCAACTTAACTAAAGTTATGATTTTGTAAAAGAGGAAGAAATGCTTTGTTATTCGATCAGCGTTTACTTGTTTTGAGACGCCCCCGCGTTGAACGTCTTGCAGACCGTTTCACTCATATAGTGGGTTTGATCCTCTTTGGGTACCGAGGCGACTGGTATCGCCAGACCGAGTTAAGCTGATTAAATAATTATCGTCGACGATATGTAATGGTTAGCAAGCTTGTCTCGCTAGAACAATTACGATCTGAGTACTAAATTCGATCCTCACTGGGTACCCCATACATTCGGCCTTGTGCCACATCTGAGCTACACTTCGAAATTCACAATAAATGCATCCCTATGCATCAGTTATTAACATGCTATTCTCGTATATTTCCCAATACGTGAACTACACAACTGAAAAATAATTTTACAGAATGAAAATAACAAGGATATCGATACTCGTTCGAATATCTCTCTTGGAATAATATTATTATAATAATTTCAGGTGAACTTCAACAGAATAGAAGAGTTAATTTAAAAGTTTAAATTTAGTTTTAAATGAGTTTAACACTAATATTATCTGAAAAATAATAAATACGTGTCACACATTGAAATCATTTAGAACGGTCATGGCTCTCCACAGATTTCCTTTTTTTAATATCTGTGAATGGCCATGACTTCTTGAGAAATATAGTGACATGGTTTCCCGTTGGCTTCTTCACGGTTTTGAATTCAAAGTAATTCTTACAGGGTATGACGATAAACTACATCCGGCAGTTAGTCCTCTGATCGGGAGATTGGAAGTTTTGTGAAGCATGAAACTACCTCTTAATTTGTTCCCAGGACCACACTCACCAGGAGTGGTAGAACCTGTTAGGGTCCCAGCTATTGGTAAATACTAAAGAACTAAAGAATTATCAAAACATCAGGAAAGTATAAAATACATTTTTATAGTAAAAATACCAGCAATACATTTTTATAAAAAATTGCCAACAATACATTTTATAGCAAAATTACCAACAATATATTTTTAAGACAAAATGACCAACAATACATTTTATAGTAGAATGACCAACAATACATTTTATAGTAGAATGACCAACAATACATTTTTTAAAAATACCAACAATACAGTTTATCATTTACAAACTATATTTTTTCTTTACTTTTACAAATATTCATCCAATAAAGGTCCAAGAGCCACTCAAGCTAGGGGGTTACTCTATGATCTTGTATTAGCGCAGGTAAGAACAAGCGTTAGGTTGAAGCAGACTTTAGAAGCATCCGGAAACCCAATCCTAAATAGAAAACAAGCGATAAACTTCTACTGCTGTTCAAAAGACCGGGAAAGTGTTTAAATCGGACGATAGGCGAACCTACCTACTTCTATTATATCTAAATAAACATACATTTACCTGAAAGTATAAAATAATGCAAAAAATATATGCAGCTGAAGCCATAACATTGCGTACAAAATATTTAGATTTTGGCATTAAATAACCTATAAACTATGATATACCATTAAACAAAATCAACCATACTTTTAAAATGGCTGCCACACATTCAAAGCTAAGGTCCAGTCGACCTGGATAATTAACACCAAATACAGTTTGCCCTGCTATTTAATCCAAAGTCCAGTCTAAGCTGCTATTTAACGAAAAGTCCAGTCGCCACCCCCATGCTATTTAGCCCCAAACAGGGGAGAGATTCATGCCGTTCTGAATTACATTTGTGCGACAGTGAGCGCAACAGACTAGGCCGGAATTTGAACTCAGCTGACCAATTTCACTTTCGGTGTCGATAACCGTTATGCTACTCGCAATTGAAACAATTACGAAATTTTAAAAAATAAAAAATTACAAAAAATAACGATCAGCGCTCCAAAGTTAATTTTCCGCTGGTTCACTTGTAATTTGCTTATTTATTTTTTTCATCTCTAGCTCGCAAGTTCGAATCAGTGCAGTGTTAATTTCATTTTAAATATCAATTTACTTTAGAGTGACAAAATCAACAAAGGAAAATGACATTTATATTTTAGTATTATAGCGTTAGGCTCGGTACAAGTACTGGTAGCCTTCGGCGGATGGATAAAAATGGCCAGATACCTCAACTTCGCCGATAAGACCCGTGAGTCATTTTGTGGAGAGAAAAAAAATGATGTGATCGTATATGTCAGCAAATAGGCTACTTATGGGTAAGGTGGTTAGCGTTGTGTCAGATTCAGGCAAGAGAGGTTTTAATGCACTGATCCACATGTCAGACATGATAGCCAACAAGTAATTCGAGGAGGCTGAGTACCGTGTCACACCGCATCGCAGACAATCTGACGGTACAGTGGCCGCTAATGGCGATAACAATAATATGATTTTGAGGGTTGATAACTTTTTAGAGGAAGGATTTAGTTGCGATTAAAGTGAACCGCTTCGATTTTTCTCTTTCTCTTTCTCTTTTCTTTCTCTTTTCTTTCTTTTTTTCCGCTATATTTTTTATTTGGTTCTCAGTTTTTTCTTCCTCACTTATGCACATATACACATTTACATATATACACATAAATACATGCACACACAAGTACATGCACACACTTATATATCTATTTCATGCTATTTAAATAATTGTTTTTTTCTTTGTTTCTGCTTGTCTCACTTTTTTCTTACCATACGTACGCACATATAAGGACAGATCGCGGGAGAGAGAGAGAGAGAGAGAGAGAGAGAGAGAGAGAGAGAGAGAGAGAGAGACATATACGTGTGGGTGAATGTTAATTAGCTCACATAGTATATATATATATATATATATATATATATATATATATATATATATATATATATATGTTTGAAAAATGTATATATTTGGGATTACATCCCAAATACACAGAATATATATATATATATATATATATATATATATATATATATATACACACTTCATCCAGATGAGCTTAACCAAAAATTTAGCAACATATATAGAATTAATACATAACCCCATAAATCAATCCCTACCCACATTTTTCACCCACAGAAGAGAGATATGCTTGCGGAGGTGTTGAGGTCTCACACTTATACAAACACCCATACGAACTATACACTTACACACATCATGCACACTCCCAATGAACTAAAATATAACATACACTTAACACACAAACACACACACATTCCATCCCCAGCAACCACTAAAACTAAAAAACTGTCAAAATGACCAATAAGAGAATTCTGAATCTTCCCACCCTCTATTTAAAAAAAAAACAACTTAAAAGAGGTCGTTTGACCAGCACAAGGACTGACCAAAATTAACGATAAAAAATAAATGAAAACTACAGATAAAGTTCATTTTCTTCATCATGTCATTCATTCCTGTAGTTTCCTGCTACTAACAAGCAGGATTTTTTTTTCTCCTGATGATGGCCTTGCTGGCTGAAACTAGTCAAGGAACCTAATTGAAATAATAAAACAAAAAATATTAATATACATACATATACCCAGTGTCTCTGAAATTTTATTTTTTTTAATATTTTTTATTGTTCAAAACACACACACACACACACACACACTTACTTGTACCTGGTACAGTTTTGTACTAATCTTGGTATAGATCTACCTGGAAGAAAGACAATGTTGCACCAAACTTCCAGTTTCTTTTATATGCTATATCCTTTCATTACTGTGAGATCAAGGCTCATAACCTTTGAGCCTTTACAATTCCTCTTTCTGTTCTTGAACTGATATCAAATCACACAAACACTTTTAGTAGGAAATCACTTTTTTTTTTTAGCCAATGTGTACCTCTACCAGTTCGGCCACGGATTCAGCCTGACAAAACAAGCTGAGAATTACCTATTAAGAAAAACACATTTTCCTCATTGGAACTCCAGCGAGTTTATATCTACTAGCTTCAGTTTTGTACCCAAAGCTTAAACAACAGTAATTTTTTTAAATCGATTCTCCTCCGATCACCGAAATTAAGCAGCATTGAGCCTGGTCAGTATTCAGATGGGTAACCTCTAGGGAATACCAGATGCTGTAAGCTATGCAAAAGGCCTAGCAAGTCGGAGATGAATGCAATCTTGTTACTTATACTAACAGGGAGACCTTGATATGGGATGTTGTTTCTGGACTGACAGGTTGCAACATCTAAATGGAGTTGGGTGAATAGTGTTTTATTGTTTATTTTTTTTTCTCAATTCAATGCCTTGTATAAATCTTTCAGTGAAATCGGTGTCATTGTATTTGTAATTTTGGATGATAGCATTGTTAATACTTTTTGTTTTGTTTCGTTTTCCGACTCCAGTAGCAACTTTTAATCCGAGGCTAAGGGCTCCGATTTCTGTGAACGTGAACTGGAAACGCTACGTATATTTGTATAATTTTGTCTTTTTATTTTTTGGGTCACTTCCTTTCCCAAGGCTATTAGTGCAAGTTGGACGCAACAGACAATGACGCATTTCGAATTCGATTCGCCGATTCCATTTTCCGTACCTGGATGCGCGAGTAACAGAATAACGGTTATCGGATCGGAAAAGTGGAATCCACCAGCCGATATAAAGTTCCTTCCGAATCTTTTGCGTCCGTTTGACACTAATAGCCTTGGGGAAAAACTATGGATCCACCTTTCCTACCTAGATATTTAGATGAATAGACTGGCCTTCCTATAGTATGATAGCTGAATATACATTCCCACTAGATATCAAGGAAGCCGGGTACATCAGACGATTGACATGTTTCGTGACGTGAGGTTTTGATGTTCGGCTGAGTTTGTGATTTGAAGAATTCAACAATTGAAGTTTCATGGAGTCTGTGATTTCAAGAACTCAATTTTCGGATTTTCAAATCGGAGTTTCAGCCCAAATTGGAGTTTCGGCCCAAATTGGAGTTTCGGCCCAAATTAGTCTTTTGGCCGGAATTGGACTTATGGCCCGAATCAGAGTTAAAGTGAGGTTTTGAATTCGATGGAGTGAATTGAAGAATTCAATGTTATTTTTTTAAAATGATCATTGCCGTTTTCTGAGCTGGTCCAGAGGTATCTTTAGTTTTGAGATTGAGGTACAATTAGCCCTCCGCAGGAACTAGCTTAAAAGTTCGCACGGAGTGCGGCTTTTAAACTATTTTAACTATTATTATTATTATATATATATATATATATATATATATATATAATTATGCAGATGTATTAATTTCTGCCTATCACAGAGACACCATGTTTATTCTTGAAAATGACTGAGACGGTAAAAGTACATAAAATAAACAATAACATGAATTTCGTACAGTTTGTTCCTCATTTCGAGTACAATACTCAATACCTCGTTCGAAAATTGAAAGAATACAATGAAAAATTAAACAGACCTTGTCGGTTTTTAATTAAACATATTTGAATATTGGTTACATTATTTGCATACCGATATTATTCCTCGTCATTATGGTTATCGTCACAATATATATATATATATATATATATATATATATATATATATATATTCGTTGTCTGTTACTGTTACTATCCAGCCAGTTAAACTGCTTGATTTTAACGTTCCCATTATGTACTCTACACTTTGGACTGTCCCTTTTGCTGATGATCATGCATTCTGTCTTCTTACAGTTGTTAGTTAAATTTTTATTCTTACTTTCCATTATTGCCTAGGGTTTCCATTATTGTTTAGGGTTTCTTTCTGTTTCTTTTCCGAGTCTACTATACGATGTAATTAAATGAGATGTTTTGTGGTTTGTCTTTAGATGTTTGTTCTGTATACCTCTCTATCTTTCTCTCCATCTATAGATACACACGCATGCACGCTCATGTGCACGCACACACAGACACACACACACATACAGGGTGCGATTAATAAATTCTCGCCATTTTTTGTTTCGCACATGCGCGTTGTTCATTTTTTTTATTTTGTCGACTGCTCAGTATAGTAGAGTCAATTGGACACCGCCTGTGAGAAAAAGAGCATCATGACGCAATTCACTCCGCCATAAATTTGGAAACGGCATGCTGTACTGTTTGGCATTCGTACCGGAAGATCCAATACGAATATTTCAGAGTGCTTGGGTGTCAATCTGAGATCAGGGCAGAAGATTCGGAAAGAGTTGAATGATATATCCAAATATCATGGTGTTTGGAGTGTTTACTACTGATGGCGATGTCATGCCACCATTTCTCTTCCCATAGGGCCTTAGACTCAACACGGAGGCCTACATCATGCCTGGAGGAGGTAGTGTTGCCCTGGGTCAAGAGGGTGGCAGCTGGAAGACCCTATGTCTGACAATGGGACTCTGCACGATGCCACACAATCAGGAGAATCCAGTCATGTCATGGCTGTTAGATAATTTCTGCGACTATATCCCCTCTTACATCTGGCCACCTAACTCCCAATTGATTATTATGGGTGGGGTGCAGTTGAGCGTGGCACCAACAAATCTTCTTGTAACACCAAAGATGAACTGAAGGCAAGCATTATGGCAGCATTCACCAACTTAAACAAGGAAACCGTCCGGAAGAGTTGCAAGAGATTCAGAAGTCATCTGGAGGTGGTGGTTGAAGCCTGTGACGATTTTATTGAATACATTTATTCTTTAGTATTTCTAGGTATTTTTGTGTGGGTTTGGTAATATTTACCAAAATGACACAAAAATACTTGTTAAAATGAGATGTGAGTGTTATTTTCATTTTTGCGTAATATAGACGACAATTTATTCATCGCACCATATATATATATATATATATATATATATGCAGATTGAATAATTGAGTGTAATCACATTTATGCATGTTTAGTTATTTGTTTAAAAGTATTGTTTTGGTCAGATGTAAGGGGTGATGTGGTCGCAGAAATTATCTGACAGCCATGACTGGGTCCTCCTTCTTGCGTGGCATGGTGCAGAGTCCTGTTGCCAGACACAGTGTTTTCCAGCTACCACCCTCTTAACCCAGGGCAACACTTTCCAACTATGTTGTATATATATATATATATATATATATATATATATATATATATATATATATGCATTTTTATTTTATGTTTATACATTCTTTTTATAGATACAAATATTTAAGTAAATGCTCTGTTTTATAATAAACAGTATTATTTACCGGCCTGAATGTCCGAGAAATTTTCATAGAAAATTTTCGTCCTCCGGAAAAGGTTGTTTAATACTGTTTATTATAAAACAGAGCATTTACGTAAATATTTGTATCTATAGAAAAATGTATAAACATAAAATGTCTTAAAATAAAATGTCGGACTTTTTGTCCATTTCATAATATATAAATATATATATATATATATATATATATATATATATATATATATATATATATATTTTGAAAAGACAGACCACGTTAAGATTCCATGTAATAAGCTATTTCACCATAACCCCTTTAACAGGGTTCTGGATCATCAGACTTTACTTCCAAAAGCTGAAATGAAAAACGAAAAGACATTCACACGTTTTTTACGGACCTCATCAAGTATACGCAAAGTTAACGAAGTGAGGAAGTGAGGTGGGAGTGAGGACATGAGTGTGTCATATGTATCATTTTAGTTTCCTATTTTAACCCCAGTGTGTCGGCTGGATGTTGCTCAAATCTAACGCGTCTCGTCTCTAGATAAATGTGGTTAAGGGGTGAGCGATAAGGACTACATTAAGGAAAACAACCCCAATAAATTACACGACAGGTTTTCATATATATATATATATATATATATATATATATATATATATATATATATATATAACACGGTTGTAAAGTACCAGAAACTATATCACGGTTTGACCCTAAGATAGAAAGGGATAAAAGAAAGAATGAGAAGATACTGCCAAATGACAGGAGAATAGCAATAGCGTGGGATATAATGCGCATATCACTCTTTTTTAATGAGGATGTGTAATAATAAATGTGGTTGGAAGATAACTTCGGCAGTGGTAGTCATAGTCGTAAAGTAGTAAACCAACCGTACAAGAATAACAATAGAAACTCTCGTAATCTCACGAAATAATTTCAAGCCCGTTTGAATTACAAAACGAAGAAAATATGGGTTTGAGAGTAGCGAGAACGAGATTTTAACTCTCGGATTTTGTTTCTTTTTACACGGTAAAAAGTACGGGCCAGCAATCAAAAACAATCGAATTTTGTATAAAAAAAAAGGATACGAGTGCGAATAATTTATGAATGAAAATATATCTTTGCTGAATGCGTTATTAATCTGATTCTTATAATTTTATCAGATAGTTATGGAGGCTAAAATGTCCTGTTACATCTTTTATATTTATATACTAGGGCAAATAAAAAAAATAATAATGCAATTTCCATACAACAACTTTATTTCCACTGATGAACAAATGAATATGTCACTTTTTGACATAGTCGCTCTGCACGGCGATGTACTTCCCGTATTGTTTAACGAACTTCTTCATCCCTTCGGAAAAAGAAGCTTTTTCAGTTGCTTACGAAGCTACATCTGCACCGCTTGCTAATTGAGGCATCCAACTCGCAAACTTTACGGTACCCCAAATCATCATGCACTATGGGTTGTACAGATCCATAGCTGATGCCCACGATTACCGCCACTTCTGCTAACGTGATTTGTCGATTGAACAAGGCATCTGAATGTGTCCTTCCGTGCTCGATGTTAATAGGCGACCAGATCGGCTTACGTCTGATACAACCTGTTCTTCTCGCTTTAAACCGTTCTTCCCGTTCATGCATCTTCCGTTGGGTCATGTGGCTTGTTTCATACTACGCCAACATCCAGCGATGGATTTCCAAAAGTTTGACTCCAACTGCCATCACAAAGCGCGCTGCAGCGCATTGTTCCTCGATGGCGCAATCGCTGAGTGGAACGTTAATTACGTTCGACCTCGTTGCTCCCCGCCACCCAACTGAATTAAATGGAATGCAGCGCGCCGCTAGCTACCGGTGATCCCATGCGCACGCCTGGTGTCGCGTATCGTCGTCTCCCTTGTTGAGTTTACCGTGTAACTTCAAAATTGCCTTTGCTTTCTATCTTACCCTCATACATCTCTATAT